CTCCTTGTCCCTAGCCTCCCCAGTTCCCTGCCCCCCCTCCCGCACTCGCCTGCCCCTCCGACTACTGCTCCTCTGCAGACTCTCCACATGGACGTGTGGGGCCCTGCCCCCATCAGTGGGACGGACCAGGAGCGCCACTTCCTGCTGGTCGTTGACAACTACACGTGCTACGCCACCGTCTTCCCCTTGTGCAGCAAGGCGGACGTCGGCGGTGTAATGATCCCCTGGATCCGGCGGGCCTTTCAGTCCTGCGTCTGCACTCTGACAGGGGTGGTGAGTTCTTTTCCGGCGTCCTTGCGAAGTTCTGTCGAAACGAGGGCATCCGCTAGACGTTCACACTTTCGGCCTCTCCGCAGCAAAATGGGATTGCCGAGCGTCGCATTGGCTTGATCATGGAGGTTGCTCGTACCTCCATGATCCATGCGGCTGCTCCTTATTTTCTGTGGCCGTTTGCGGTCCGATACACCGCGCATCAGCTCAACCTTTGGCCCCGTGTCTCGTTGCCACAGACCTCGACCACACTCTGTTGGACGGGAAAGGTTGGCGATGCGTCGGCATTTCGGGTCTGGGGCGCGCTCTCCCTTGTTTGCAAAACCACCGCGAGCAAGCTCTCTCCTTGCACTTTCCGCTGCGCCTTCCTGGGCTTCCCCACCGACGCCCCGCCATGGCAGTTTTACTTCCCTCGCACGCGTCGAGTCCTGTCCTCCCATGACCTCACATTTGACGAGTCCGTCTGTTTCTATAGGCTCCACCAGCACGCATCCCACCCGGTCCCCATGGCGCCTCTCTTCCTGGTACCAGTTCCCCCCCCGGTAGACCCCCTCCCCCCACAGGGTCCTGCTCCCTCAGGTGTGTCTCAGGTAGACCCACCCCTCATTGTTGAGCCTCTGGAGATCTCTTCTAACTCCTATGGCCCTGCTGAGGGGGGTGACCCCGCCGCTGACGACACGGCGGCCACTCGCCGCTCTCCACGCTTGGAGACCCCTCCTGTTTTTCCGCCTCGACCGCCTTCGCCGCCTCTGCAGCCTATAGCTGTGGACACTGGTGCTGCTGGGGTTGGTGACACTGGGAGTGAGGGTTTTGGGGGTGCTGAGACTGGGGGTGCTGACTCTGGGGGTGTTGACTTTGCGGGTGGTGCGAGTCCTAGTGGTGGTGGGGTCGTGGGTGCTCCTACTGCAGGTCCTGGCATTGGACAGCAGCAGCCGCCTAGTCGACTCGAGATGCTCTCACCACAGCAGCTTCGTGAGTGGGTCGTTTGGCAAGGCTGGTGCTGGAGCTTGGAGTTTCCTAGACGCTGGAGCTGCTGGTGCTGGAGGTACTGCTGGAGGTGCTGCTGGTGCTGGAGCTGCTGGTGCTGGAGGTACTGCTGGAGGTGCTAGAGCTGCTGGTGCTGGAGGTACTGCTGGAGGTGCTGCAGGTGCCGGAGCTGCTGGTGGTGGAGGTGGTGGAGGTGCTGGAGGTGCTGCTGGTGTTGGAGGTACTACTAAAGCTGCTAGTGCTGGAGGTGCTGGAGGTACTACTGGTGCCGGAGGCGCTGGAGCTGGAGGTGCTGGAGGTCCTGGAGGTGCTGGAGCTGCTGTTCCTGGGGGTGCTTGTACTAGAGGTGCTGGAGCTGCTGGAGCTGGTGGTGCTGCTGGTGCTGGAGGTGCTGGAGGTGCTGCTGGTGCTGGAGGCGCTGGAGTTGTAGGTACTGGAGGTACTGGAGGTGCTGGACCTGCTGGTCCTGGAGGTGCTCGTACTAGAGGTGCTGTAGCTGGCGGAGCTGGTGGTGCTGCTGGTGCTGGGGGTGCTGGAGGTGCTGCTGGTGCTTGAGGCGCTAGAGCTGAAGGTATTGGAGGTACTAGAGGTGCTCGAGCTACCGGAGCTGGTGGTACTGCTGGTGCTGGAGGTGCTGGAGCTGCTGACGGTCCAGGTACTGCGCCGCGTCGACCGTTTTTCTACCCGCAGCAGCAGTCGTCCCTGCCACCGCCTACCTCGGCCCTTCGCCAGGTTCTTAGTCTCCCATCTTCCACTGGCCTCACTCCACCTCTCCTGTGTCCACCGTCTGGCTCGTCTCAATCACAGTTGCCATCTGGCTCCCCACCGCCTGCTCCTTCTCCCTACACTGAGCTGCCAGACTCCCTGACTGAGCATCGTGAGCCTACGTCTCGTGCCTCCACACCTGTTCGTGCTCGTCGTGTCGCCTGTCTTCGTCCTCTTGCTGTCCCAGGCACTCACGCTATGGCACTTCGTCCTTCCTCTGTTCCACAGTGTGTTGCCCTGCTGTATCCTCCGGCGTCCTCTCTTCCTGATGTGCCTGACCCTGAGTCCGACCTTGCTCGTGCTGCCAGTCCTACTGTCACTCATCTCCTCGCTACTGCAGTCACTAGGGTCAGTGACTCAGTGTCAGCAGTAGCAAAAACCAAGTAGTCGACGTACATGAGGACGTAGAACGGCGGCAGAGAAGTGTCGGTGCGTAGAAACAGCGACGGGTCAGCAGAGTAAGGAGCAAACCCAAGAGCCGCAAGTGTCATCCTCGGTGTGTCGTGCCACTTGCGAGGCGCCTGACGGAGACCGTAGATTGGCCGCGGAAGGCTCCACGGGGTACCCGTAGGAAACGACCTAGTGAAGCCAGGTGGGCAGCGCAGTCAGATCTCCTCGTGAAGGCTACCCTGAAAGAAAGTCTGTGGAGAAACCGAGGGAGTGCATCTCGTAGTCACACTGTGCTGCAACGTGCAGCAACACCCGAAGAGTAGTCATCTTCTGGGTGGGGGAAAAGGTTGGGAAGAAGTCGACCCCCTGTCGCTGACTGAAGCCTCGAGCAACGTAACGCGCCTTTAAGGCAGGCGGAGAGCCCGGCGGACACTTCACTCTGAAAATCCACATGCCATCGACTATGTTCGCCTCAGGAGGAGGAACCTTGTCGACGTAGGTGCCTGTGGACTTCCAAGAAGCCATCTCTACGTCCATGGCTGTCTGCCACTGAGAGGATTATTCACCCGCGATCGCCTCAGCGTAAGAGCGCGGGGTAGGGATGTCAAGAGCATTCGGGTCTCCCTCAGGGCAAAGCAGCATGTATGCGAAACGTGGTAAAGTGGCTGCAAGATACTCAAGGACGTCACTGCCAAGGGCAGGCTCATCCCCGACTGACGGAGGACAGACAGGCTCAGACTCAGCAACAAGACTTGCGACGTAGTCAAGATGACTCCTAGTAACAAAGTCTACTAGCTCAGTGACTAGGGCAAACGCAGCAGTAGACTCAAAGTGGAGAGACACACATGCACTGACCTTGGTGAGCTGCGGAGTTATCTTGGCTTAAAGATCACCCGGGACAGAGCACGGCGCACCATCACCCTGACGCAGTCACACATGGTGCACTAGGTCTTTCAGCGCTTCGACTTCAAGTTCTCCACGCCACAACCCACTCCTCTGCCTACAGGCCACTCGCTCTCAGCTCCACCTTCGGATGAGTCCGTAGAGCCACGTGGTCCGTATCCAGAGCTTGTGGGTTGCCTCATGTACCTGATGACGTGTACACGACCAGACCTCGCGTACCCTCTCAGCCTCCTGGCTTGCTACGTGGCTCTTGGTAGACACTGAAAGGTGTACTGGGATGTTGTGAAGAGGGTACTGCGTTAATTGTGCAGTACATCGAGCATCGGGCTCGTGTTTGGAGGACGGGATTCAGTGGTTCTCACAGGGCACTCTGACGCTTCCTGGGCCGACGACCAGGCGACTCAGCGATCGTCACAGGGTTACACATTCAGTCTTGGTTCTGGTTCTATCTCGTGGAGGTATACTTGTTCGTCTTCTGCGCTTGGTTCTAACTGTGAGGCCAAGATCTACGCTGGGGCTATGGCTGCACAGGAGCTACGCTTGCTGGCCTTCCTGTTGACCGACTTGGGGGAGCGGCCTCGTTCTCCTCCAGTTCTGTACGTCGACAACAAGGCCATGTTTGACTTGTGTCGCGAGCAGAGACTGGAGCACAAAACGAAGCACATTTCTCTTCACTACTTTCTTGCTTGCGAGCTGCAGCAGTGTGGTCAGCTTCGCCTTTCCTACGTGGCCTTTCGGGCCAACACTGCTGATGTCTTCACCAAGGCCCTTGGGTCTAGTGATCATCAGCGCTTTTGCACTGCTCTTAGGCTTGTGCCCACGCTGCCTCACCTGTTTGTCTCTTGATCTTGTCTTGCACTTGTTGTACACTTATACGTATGCTTCTACCTGCATGTTTACACTTGCCAGGTTGTGATCAGTGTACTGCCTTGCTATTACAACTCTACATGTGAACTGGCCTTGTGGCCGCTTGCTTTTGCTCGGACTGTGTGGTATCCTTGAGGTCCACCCTGAGTTTTGCTTTGCTTTATTCTCTTGCGTGACTGGTCTTGTGACTGCTAGTTGTGTTAGCTATCGCCCACTTTGCCTATGGGGGTGTGTCAAACATTATATGTTTGTTTCTGTGTAGGTTGTAGTGGGGCTTCCCTTAGAGGGGATACAACTCTAGAGTTACACATGTGTATCCCCCTCATTCCTAGTTCACCCATCCCTTCTCAATTCCCCTCGTCATTTTACTCTCGACACTGAGCTTAGCCTCCTAGACCTATGTTACTAAGGCTACTTTAACGGTCCCATCTTCGAAGCGAATGGTTGAGTCAGCCTTGCAAGAGTATAAGGTTTGGATTGGAGAGATGTGCGAGGTAACGTGCAAGCAACAACAGTGAGTGGTAGCAGCTGGATAATGTGAAAGTTTGTGGCAGCAATCCATTCGCCTTTATATGTTTTGATACAGCGATCCAACCAACTGTAACAACGTGCGTCCTTATAATGTGATCGGCCCTTTATGTCATTCTCTGTGAGGATGGATGGGAATACCACGACCAGCCTCCTTTTCTATCTGGCTTGCCAAACTGCAGATGGCATAACATTATAACACACCATTGTAACATACGGCATAAAATACAGCTTGCCGATACACTCCATACATACGTGAGCTTGACAGTGGTACAATTACTTTATGCACGTCACTCCTGCACCTCACTGATCTCGCAACTGCTAACCCTGCTGCTGGCCTTCTTTGTTTTACTCGCAACCGCAGCACGAGGCACATTCCCACCACCAGCCAACGACAAACCCGAATCACCAACATCAATACTATCACCACCACCGCCACCACCACCACTATCACCACCAATCAAACAATCCTCTTGGCCAGGTTCACGCCTCGCTCTGCAAGTACTATCCAATCCTCCATTCATACTTGCCCTCTCACCCTTCTCCTCCACTTTCTTACCCCCCTGCCCTTGAGCAACCTTCTCACCACTGCTCCCAAGACCCGAAGCCCCATCCTCTGATGCCTTCACATTCCCATTCCCCGAACCAGAAGCCGAGGTTCGGGGCGCCTTACCATCCGTGTTCTCCAATCCCGAACCAGGCTTCAACTCCGGACCACCATCACCGTCTGCAAAAGCCGTGGAAGCAGCATCGCTCGACCCACCCTCTCTCCCGCTCCGGCTTCTCCGCGAGGAGCTGCGCTTCCGGGAAGCTTCCGGGGCGATGTGCCAGTCAAAGGGGAGGCCGGAGGGGCGCACTCGGAAGGCCTCGGCTTCGGAGAGCAGCGAGTCAAACTGGCGACGGCCCTTGGTGAGATACGCGCCCCATGACAGCTGCTGATACGCCCTGGGGGATAGAGGGGTAGTGCAAGGGAGGGAAGGACGTGAGGAGGAGGTTAGAGGTTGAATAATCGGATGAGACAGTGCTGGTCCTTGATTGATGAGATGCGCTCTGCATGACAACTGTTGATAGGCCCTGGGGGGAAGGGTATGGGGTGGGGAAGGCAAGAGGGAAACCGCAGCGATGTGCCAGTCAAAGGGGAGGCTGGAGGGGCGCACTCGGAAGGACTCGGCTTCGGAGAGGAGCGAGTCAAACTGGCGGCGGCCCTTGGTGAGATAGGCGCCCCATGACAGCTGCTGATACGCCCTGGGGGGATGGTGGTGGGTAAGGGGAGACGAGGTGGGAAGCAGGTTAGCCTGTTGAGTCGCCTTGGTGGTTGAGCTGAAAAGGCAGTGTCCCTTGGTGAGATAGACGCCCCATGACAGCTGCTGATAGGCCCTGGGGGGAAGGGAATGGGGTGGTCAAGACAAGAGGGAAACTTCAGCGATGTGCCAGTCAAAGGGGAGGCCGAAGGGGCGCACTCGGAAGGCGCCCTTGGTGAGATAGGCGCCCCATGACAGCTGCTGGTACGCCCTGGGGGGAGGTAGTGTGACATGCAGACATGCAGGCATGCAGGCATGGAGGCATGCAGGCATGGAGGCATGCAGGCATGGAGGCATGCAGGCATGGAGACATGCTATCTTTTGAAAATTCTCAAAAGTAACATGGAAGCGCGGAGCAGATACAGCCCTGAACGATTTTGAAACGTCTCGACACGAGAGTTTCGAGCCGTCTCAGCACTCACCAGAGCACCATGGAGCAGATGACAATGGCGGTGAACGCTGCTCTCATGTGGGGCTCAGCTCATCTCATCTCATGGCCCGCCCCATGGGCGCCTGCTGCACCCAGGCCTGCTTTATGCGGCCCTCAAACCAGCACTCACCAGAGCACCATGGAGCAGATGACAATGGCGGTGAACGCTGCTGGGATGAAGGTTGAGAAGTTGAACTTAATCCATCTGGAAGCAAGGGGGGGGGGGAGAGGAGGACAAGTGGGGGAGTTGGGGAGATGAGCAAATTGTGAGAACTTAGGCTTAGAAGCGATGCATTAGTAATGAGCTTGAAGCTCTTTAAGTACATCCAAGAAGGGGAGGGAATGGAAGGGGAAGGGAATCGGGGGCAATCCCTAGGGATTGGGGGTAATCCCAAGGCAATCTCCAATTGGTGGGTTGGAGATTGCTTGGAGATTACAGTTGGGTTTGGTTGGGATGTAGGTGTACACCCAACCAAACACAATGTGCAAACTACACTACTCTAGGATATAGAAAATACAAAGTACAAAGTGTGAGATTGAAGGCTAACACTAACACAAATTGGGGGCAAAGCTGACGAAGATCGCGGTAGGGGCAGAGGGTGGAAATGTAGGGAACAGAGTTGGAACAGCGGTGTTGCGGTCACGAATCGAGTGAACCCAGTGAGAGGTATTCTCAAAAGTGACCCCAATGTTGGGAAAAGAGGGTACCCTTGATCATGTAGGGTGTTTTTGAGAATTCTCAAGAACATCCAGCCATGGGAAGAGTGGGTTTGCACAGGGGATTGTATACAGTTTGGCCTTTACGTGGACTCCAGATGGTTGAAATTTATGAAAAAAATCTTAAGTTGACTTCTAAGTGGACTCAATAATGGCGTTACACACAGGAAGTCAAGAGCGAGGATAAGCCTATTTGTAGGCTCACCTGTTCTGTACCGCCTTTGGACTTGTCATTTAAAAGTTTCTTGAATCCGTGTAAAGCCGTGAATTTGCTGACATATGACTGGGAACTGATACAAGTGCAATGTTAGTCTCCATTTTGTACCTTATACTGGATCAATTGTATACCTTATACTGGATCAATTGTATACCTTATACTGGATCAATTGTATACCTTATACTGGATCACCTGTTCCTTCGTCTCTATTTGCTATACCGTTCTTTGTTCTCAATGATAACAACTGTTTGACTAAAATGTCCGGTTGCACTGAAGTCTAGTTCCGAATTGCGGTATAACAGCCTAGGAGGAGATCAGACCCCCCCCGTCGCACCTCTAGATTAGTTCGGTTTTTGAGGCGCCTCAAAAACCACCTCAATGCACAGTTTAGGAGGAGATCAGAGTCCCCCTGTCGCACCTCTAGATTAGTTCCAACAGCTTACCCGATAGGAATGAGGCTGAGAAGGAACGAAAAGATTCCTGTCAGATGGGAAAGATGGGGCAGCATTGATTGGAGGACATGAAGTGAAGGGCCAGCAAAACCTATCTTGGCCATTGCTTCCCCTTCACTAAAGAAGGGGCAGCATTTAGTGAAAAAAACTATGTGGAAGGTGAAGCAATGGCCAAGATGAGGAAATCCATCGGTCAAAGTTGGCCAAAGCTGGTCAAAGTGGGTCAACGCTGGTCAAAAGACTGTCAAACAAAGTCAAAGGATGGGCATCAGTGGAAAGGTGTGATTGTGCATTTTGACTGAAAATTAGTAAAAATTAGCCACATTTTGACTTGACAGCGAACTAAACCACAATTGTACCCCATGTGAAGTAGTTGAATGCCTTGCGCCGCCAGTCATCTTCACAGTTTGAAGGGTTCGATGGGATTGGGTGATACATGAACATGCTCGTGCCATGCTGCACTCAAGCATACCCTACCCACTTCGTATTGGGAATGCGTGTGGGCAGACAGTGACATACCCCATGTGAAGTAGTTGAATGCCTTGCTCCAGTGATCTTCACACCTTGGAGGTTGAAGGGGCTAGGTGATATGTGTTACCAACATGCATTGCCTACTAAAGGCTCACCCTACCCATCTCCTTTTAAAATTGGGTCTGTATGGTCAAACTCACCCCATGTGAAGTAGTTGAATGCCTTGCGCCAGTCATCTTCACACCTTGGAGAGTGAAAGGGAGACATACCCCACTCAAGCATACCCTATAGGGACCATGAGGAGAGACATACCCCATGTGAAGTAGTTGAATGCCTTGCGCCAGTCATCTTCACACCTTAATGGGTTTGACACATGTGTATGCCATGCCATCCCATCCCAATCCCATCCCATCCCGTGCCATCCCACACAATGCCCATATCATGCCGCAACGCAAATTGCCGCACCATGCCAGATTGCAAGATTGAATTAGAATCCAAACGAAAAAAAAAAGAGTAATCACTTAAGCACACCCTGATAACGAAACATCGTGCAAGTCCTTGTGACGTGCAAATAGACCGTGCCTGCGACACGCAAATACCCACCTGTCCTGTCCACCACCAACCCACCAGCCTGTCCACCACCAACCCACCAGCCTGTCCACCACCAACCCACCAGCCTGTCCACCACCAACCCACCAGCCTGTCCACCACCAACCCACCAGCCTGTCCACCACCAACCCACCAACCTATCCACCACCAACCCACCAGCCTCACCTGTACTCCCAGAAGGCTTCGAACGTGCGTCGGGGGGCGGGTGGGCGATCTCCGAGCGAGAAAGAGAAAGAGCGCACAAAGAGCAAGCAGCGGAACATGAAGTGCTCCTCCGGTTACCACATGTGCTTTACCCATCCCCCACACCGACGAAACATCCACCCGTCTCACCTGTACTCCCAAAACGCCTCAAACATGCGTCGGGGGGCGGGTGGGCGATCTCCGAGCGAGAAAGAGAAAGAGCGCACAATGAGTAGGCAGCGGAACATTTTTGAGTCGACTCAAAAATCGTCGGGGGGCGGGTGGGCGATCTCTGAGCAAGAAAGAGAAAGAGCGCACAAAGAGCAGGCAGCGGAACATGAAGTGCTCCACCAGGTAACACCTGTGCGTGTGACATCCCCCCACCAGCCTCACCTGTACTCCCAAAAGGCTTCAAACGTGCGCCGCGGCGCAGGAGGCCTGTCTCCCAGTGAGAAAGAGCGCACAAAGAGCAAGCAGCGGAACATGAAGTGCTCCTCGGCCTCCTCGTCCACGTAGGCCTTGCCGTTCTTCAAGATGCTTCCCATGATGAGCGTGCACTGCACCATGGCGACTGTGTGCAGACAGACCTGGTAAGAACCGGAAGAAGAGGGAAGAACACACAGCAGGCAGGCAGGCAGGCAGAGAGGCAAGCAGGCAGGGAGGCAAGCAGGCAGGGAGGCAAGCAGGGAGGCAGGCACGGGGAGAGCAGGGTAAGAGCAAGCAACGGAACATGAAGTGCTCCTCGGCCTCCTCGTCCACGTAGGCCTTGCCATTCTTCAATATGCTTCCCATGATGAGCGTGCACTGCACCATGGCCACCGTGTGCAGGCAGACCTGAGTGGGAGTAGGGAGAGGGGAGTAGAGAAGCAGGCAGGCAGCAGGCAGCAGAGTGTCAGGGCACCCCTCGCCCTCCCTCCACTGCCCATGATGAGCGTGCACTGCACCATGGCCACCGTGTGTAGACACACCTGAGTGGGAAGGGGGAAGCAGACAGCATGAGTGCACCCCTCTTGACCATTCAACTGCCCATGATGAGCGTGCATTGCACCATGGCGACCGTGTGCAGACACACCTGAAGTGGGAGACGAGGGAGAGGGGAGGAGAGACAGCAAGCAGGCAGACCTGGTATGAGAAAGGCAGGAGACAGCGGGTATGCAGCACAGAAGCAGGCAGGCAGCAGGCAGCAGAGTGTCAGTGCACCACTTGCCCTCCCTCCACTCCGCTTGCTGCGGTTTGAACCCACATCTTCGTGCCCCTTACGGACTGGATTGGGTTCGGACTGAGTTGCACTGGACTGGACAAGACTGGACTGGACTTATGGCCAATACTGTGTCCTTGCTTGGTGTGAGTGGTGAGTCGAGGGAGACTCACCGAGATGGCAGTGAGGATGCCGTATAGAGCAATGTTCGACCTTTAAGGATAGGGCAATGCACCCTATACGGAATGTGGTTTGGGCCGCATCAGAGCACTCACACCTGTTTGATGTTACTGGTGAGTCGAGGGAGACTCACCGAGATGGCAGTGAGGATGCCGTATAGAGCAATGTTCCACCGTTAAGGATAGGGCAATGCACCCTATACGGAATGTGGTTTGGGTCGCATCAGAGCACTCACACCTGTTTGATGTTACTGGTGAGTCGAGGGAGACTCACCGAGATGGCAGTGAGGATGCCGTATAGAGCAATGTTCCACCGTTAAGGATAGGGCAATGCACCCTATACGGAATGTGGTTTGGGTCGCATCAGAGCACTCACACCTGTTTGATGTTACTGGTGAGTCGAGGGAGACTCACCGAGATGGCAGTGAGGATGCCGTATAGAGCAATGTTCCACCGTTAAGGATAGGGCAATGCACCCTATACGGAATGTGGTTTGGGTCGCATCAGAGCACTCACACCTGTTTGATGTTACTGGTGAGTCGAGGGAGACTCACCGAGATGGCAGTGAGGATGCCGTATAGAGCAATGTTCCACCGTTAAGGATAGGGCAATGCACCCTATACGGAATGTGGTTTAGGCCGCATCAGAGCACTCACACCTGTTTGATGTTACTGGTGAGTCGAGGGAGACTCACCGAGATGGCAGTGAGGATGCCGTATAGAGCAATGTTCGACCGTTAAGGATAGGGCAATGCACCCTATACGGAATGTGGTTTGGGTCGCATCAGAGCACTCACACCTGTTTGATGTTACTGGTGAGTCGAGGGAGACTCACCGAGATGGCAGTGAGGATGCCGTATAGAGCAATGTTCGACCTTTAAGGATAAGGCAATGCACCCTATACGGAATGTGGTTTGGGTCGCATCAGAGCACTCACACCTGTTTGATGTTACTGGTGAGTCGAGGGAGACTCACCGAGATGGCAGTGAGGATGCCGTACAGAGCAATGTTCCACCGTTAAGGATAGGGCAATGCACCCTATACGGAATGTGGTTTGGGTCGCATCAGAGCACTCACACCTGTTTGATGTTACTGGTGAGTGGAGGGAGACTCACCGAGATGGCAGTGAGGATGCCGTATAGAGCAATGTTCCACCGTTAAGGATAGGGCAATGCACCCTATACGGAATGTGGTTTGGGTCGCATCAGAGCACTCACACCTGTTTGATGTTACTGGTGAGTCGAGGGAGACTCACCGAGATGGCAGTGAGGATGCCGTATAGAGCAATGTTCCACCGTTAAGGATAGGGCAATGCACCCTATACGGAATGTGGTTTGGGTCGCATCAGAGCACTCACACCTGTTTGATGTTACTGGTGAGTCGAGGGAGACTCACCGAGATGGCAGTGAGGATGCCGTATAGAGCAATGTTCCACCGTTAAGGATAGGGCAATGCACCCTATACGGAATGTGGTTTAGGCCGCATCAGAGCACTCACACCTGTTTGATGTTACTGGTGAGTCGAGGGAGACTCACCGAGATGGCAGTGAGGATGCCGTATAGAGCAATGTTCGACCGTTAAGGATAGGGCAATGCACCCTATACGGAATGTGGTTTGGGTCGCATCAGAGCACTCACACCTGTTTGATGTTACTGGTGAGTCGAGGGAGACTCACCGAGATGGCAGTGAGGATGCCGTATAGAGCAATGTTTGACCTTTAAGGATAAGGCAATGCACCCTATACGGAATGTGGTTTGGGTCGCATCAGAGCACTCACACCTGTTTGATGTTACTGGTGAGTCGAGGGAGACTCACCGAGATGGCAGTGAGGATGCCGTACAGAGCAATGTTCCACCGTTAAGGATAGGGCAATGCACCCTATACGGAATGTGGTTTGGGTCGCATCAGAGCACTCACACCTGTTTGATGTTACTGGTGAGTGGAGGGAGACTCACCGAGATGGCAGTGAGGATGCCGTATAGAGCAATGTTCCACCGTTAAGGATAGGGCAATGCACCCTATACGGAATGTGGTTTGGGTCGCATCAGAGCACTCACACCTGTTTGATGTTACTGGTGAGTCGAGGGAGACTCACCGAGATGGCAGTGAGGATGCCGTATAGAGCAATGTTCCACCGTTAAGGATAGGGCAATGCACCCTATACGGAATGTGGTTTGGGTCGCATCAGAGCACTCACACCTGTTTGATGTTACTGGTGAGTCGAGGGAGACTCACCGAGATGGCAGTGAGGATGCCGTATAGAGCAATGTTCCACCGTTAAGGATAGGGCAATGCACCCTATACGGAATGTGGTTTGGGTCGCATCAGAGCACTCACACCTGTTTGATGTTACTGGTGAGTCGAGGGAGACTCACCGAGATGGCAGTGAGGATGCCGTATAGAGCAATGTTCCACCGTTAAGGATAGGGCAATGCACCCTATACGGAATGTGGTTTGGGTCGCATCAGAGCACTCACACCTGTTTGATGTTACTGGTGAGTCGAGGGAGACTCACCGAGATGGCAGTGAGGATGCCGTATAGAGCAATGTTCCACCGTTAAGGATAGGGCAATGCACCCTATACGGAATGTGGTTTGGGTCGCATCAGAGCACTCACACCTGTTTGATGTTACTGGTGAGTCGAGGGAGACTCACCGAGATGGCAGTGAGGATGCCGTATAGAGCAATCTTCCACCGTTAAGGATAGGGCAATGCACCCTATACGGAATGTGGTTTGGGTCGCATCAGAGCACTCACACCTGTTTGATGTTACTGGTGAGTCGAGGGAGACTCACCGAGATGGCAGTGAGGATGCCGTATAGAGCAATGTTCCACCGTTAAGGATAGGGCAATGCACCCTATACGGAATGTGGTTTGGGTCGCATCAGAGCACTCACACCTGTTTGATGTTACTGGTGAGTCGAGGGAGACTCACCGAGATGGCAGTGAGGATGCCGTATAGAGCAATGTTCCACCGTTAAGGATAGGGCAATGCACCCTATACGGAATGTGGTTTGGGTCGCATCAGAGCACTCACACCTGTTTGATGTTACTGGTGAGTCGAGGGAGACTCACCGAGATGGCAGTGAGGATGCCGTATAGAGCAATGTTCGACCTTTAAGGATAGGGCAATGCACCCTATACGGAATGTGGTTTGGGTCGCATCAGAGCACTCACACCTGTTTGATGTTACTGGTGAGTCGAGGGAGACTCACCGAGATGGCAGTGAGGATGCCGTATAGAGCAATGTTCGACCGTTAAGGATAGGGCAATGCACCCTATACGGAATGTGGTTTGGGTCGCATCAGAGCACTCACACCTGTTTGATGTTACTGGTGAGTCGAGGGAGACTCACCGAGATGGCAGTGAGGATGCCGTATAGAGCAATGTTCCACCGTTAAGGATAGGGCAATGCACCCTATACGGAATGTGGTTTGGGTCGCATCAGAGCACTCACACCTGTTTGATGTTACTGGTGAGTCGAGGGAGACTCACCGAGATGGCAGTGAGGATGCCGTATAGAGCAATGTTCCACCGTTAAGGATAGGGCAATGCACCCTATACGGAATGTGGTTTAGGCCGCATCAGAGCACTCACACCTGTTTGATGTTACTGGTGAGTCGAGGGAGACTCACCGAGATGGCAGTGAGGATGCCGTATAGAGCAATGTTCGACCGTTAAGGATAGGGCAATGCACCCTATACGGAATGTGGTTTGGGTCGCATCAGAGCACTCACACCTGTTTGATGTTACTGGTGAGTCGAGGGAGACTCACCGAGATGGCAGTGAGGATGCCGTATAGAGCAATGTTCCACCGTTAAGGATAGGGCAATGCACCCTATACGGAATGTGGTTTGGGTCGCATCAGAGCACTCACACCTGTTTGATGTTACTGGTGAGTGGAGGGAGACTCACCGAGATGGCAGTGAGGATGCCGTATAGAGCAATGTTCCACCGTTAAGGATAGGGCAATGCACCCTATACGGAATGTGGTTTGGGTCGCATCAGAGCACTCACACCTGTTTGATGTTACTGGTGAGTCGAGGGAGACTCACCGAGATGGCAGTGAGGATGCCGTATAGAGCAATGTTCGACCGTTAAGGATAGGGCAATGCACCCTATACGGAATGTGGTTTGGGTCGCATCAGAGCACTCACACCTGTTTGATGTTACTGGTGAGTCGAGGGAGACTCACCGAGATGGCAGTGAGGATGCCGTATAGAGCAATGTTCCACTGTTAGGGGTGGGAGGTGCAGAGGGGGAAGAGAGAGATAAGGAGGGGTGAGAGGAACAAGGGACAAAGCAGAGCATAGCGATTCGAGTCTCGACAGTCGGGAGGAGTCTAATCTAATGTGAGTTACAACTGGGCGAGTGTGTGAAAGCAAGTGGGGATGGGGGGGAAGGGGGCGGGGGGTGTGATACTGGGGCAATAGCAGCAGCAGAAGCAGCAGCCACAGCACATAGGCACAGTAGCAGCAGCTCATTTTTTGAGATAACTCAAATCTCGCCACCTTAAAACACTCAGCAGTAGCCAGACACCGGAGGGAAGGTGTCTGGCATATTTTGGAAGGAACAAAGTTAGAGTTAGTGTGATTATTACAAGAGGAGGTGACTGTATCGAAGGAAGAAAGACTCACCATCGGAGAGTCTTCGAGGGTGACTTGGAATTGCGTGAGTGTGACAACAGCGAAGCCAGCAAACAGCGCTGCGAGGTTCGAGATCGCCTTGAGCTGCTCCGACTTCTCCTCCACATCTCGCCGGTTCTTCTCAACAAATCTGCCAAGAGAGGGGAGGGTGGAGGGACGATATGGGGGTTGGAAGGATGGGAGGATTTGAGATCACCTTGAGCTGCTCCGACTTCTCCATGCCTTGCCGGTTCTTCTCCACAAACCTGACGACAAGTTGTTGATGGAAATACATCTAACGAGTATCTGAGTTCAACGACGCGCACTTTCTGATGCAGTACCCCGCACTGAATACCTGACTGACTGAATACCTGACTGAATATCTGACTGACTTAATACCTGCCTGAATGCCAGACTGAATACCTGCCAGAATACCTGACTGAATACCTGACTGAATACCTGACTAAATACCTGACTGAATACCTGCCTGAATGCCTGCCTGAATACCTGCCTGAATACCTGCCTGAATACCTGACTGAATACCTGCCTGAATACCTGGCTGAATACCTGACTGAATACCTGCCTGAATACCTGACTGAATACCTGCCTGAATACCTGGCTGAATACCTGACTGAATACCTGACTGACTACCTGACTGACTCTGCATATGACGTTTGCCACTATCTGTAAATCAAGCTCGCACAACCCGAACTCATCTGCCTCTCAACCCTCACCGAAGCTGTACTTTACTGGTTATACCTAACTTATTGTGGTTTATTTCCTGATGACACCGGCTCTACACCTGAGATTGCACCTGATGCTGCACATTGTACCTGGCCCAGAGGTATCTTGCATTGTCCACGTGGCGTTGGTTCATGTCTTCCTCCCTCCACCTGATGCCAGCAGCAATGCACATTGTACAGTGTAAAGCGCACAGAGTACAGAGCACAGAGCACAGAGCACAAAGCACAGAGCACAGAGCACAGAGCACAGAGCACAGAGCACAGAGCACAGAGCACAGAGCACAGAGCACAGTGTACAGTGCGCAACACCCATAGCACAGTATATACGCGGTAGCATGTATGAACAACATACAATATCTAATGATCAAAGGCATGAATGCATCAAAAGGCAAACAGATAATGCAGATGAGACATCCAGGGACGTTGCGTGCGTGAGTGAGTGAGCGAGCTAGCGAGCGAGCAAGTGAGTGAGTGAGAGATTCTGTGAGTGAGTGAGAGTGAGTGTTTCTGAGGCGCATAACAAGTTTACTTGGATTTGATCCACTTCCATTTCTCCCCCCCGCTCTCTTGCTCATCCTCCCCTCACTGTCCCTCAAAGCCCCCCCGCTCACTTCTCCTTGCCCATCCCCCACCCTCACACCTCCCTCTCCCCCCGTCTCTCCCCTCTTCCCCCCTCCCCTCCCCCCTTCCCCCCTCTTCCCCTCCTCCCTCCCCCCCACCACACCCCCTCTCCCTTTCTCCCACCTAATTTCCGCGCTCCGCATTTCCGCCTCTTCCCCGAACCATCTCCGCTCCTCCTCGCGGAACGCGAGGTCGTCCGCGCGCCACTGGCGGTCCTCCGCGCGCCAGCGGCGGTCCTCGTCGCGCCACTGCCGCGACAGCGACGTGTCGAACGCCGCCAGTACCGCCTGCGCCGCCTCCATCGTGCTCGCCATCGGTACCCGGCGCGCTTAGCTAAGGGACGCAAGGCCCCCTGCAGTTGGTTGACACTGTAATAATATCGACAACGGCGGCGTCAGATGCGGAGCTTTCTAGGAAATCGTTCTCTGGCGAGTTTCGCTCGTGCTAAAAGAATCCCCACATGCAGCACTGCTGTTCGCAGCGCGGAGTTGGATTCGACCGTTATAAACCTGTTTTGTTAGGAGCGCGCGAAATTCACTAGTGAGCTGAAATGCACTACATCGCTACATGATATTTGAACTGAACAATGAATAACGAGGTTCAAATAGGCAGAGCCGAGCTAGCTAGGGACCTCGAGGTGACGAGGTTCGGGTGGGCGGCGAAAGGTGCGGAGGCGACAGGGAGGTGGTTCGGGAAGGAATGTTGGCCGAACCAGCTGACACGAGAACCTCGGAGTGTACCCGTTTAACAGATGTCTATAATGAGGATTCGTTACCTGTATCATGAAGTTTATAACAAATAAATGTATAGATTTCATTGCTCCAATTGGTACAAATACTGTAGAGTGCTATGCTTGCAACAAGTTGCAAAATTCATTGGTTTGGCTTTATAACCTCATCTACCATGTACCAATCGCACTACTTTGCAGTGTAGACGGGATGCCCTACCCATTTTCCCATTGCACTCTGTTTCCACACCGTTACTACACCATCTGCTCCCACCGTCGCCAGGCTAGAACCTAGTAGGTCCCAGGAAACTTGATGCACCTGTTGGGATGGACACGGGTTGGTTCACATATGATAACAACACAGAGATGGTATAAATGTTGGGTGGAAATGACTGCTAAGTACTTTTCTCCACTTCAACAAACTAGGTGGGTCAAAGATCAGGTAGCTGTGTGGTTTGAGAAGATCATGCATATTGAACACTACAGCCAACATGCCATAAGAGCACACATTACGACAAAATGAAATACTGATGCAACATAATGATGACAGTAGACTGTAACTGAAATGTTACAGCATCGCAGAATGTCGCACTTGTCGATGGTAGCTAGGATAAACTGCCTGAATGATACTTTCAAAACACTGAGAATATGGGTCCAATCTTGCATAGGAGGCTCGGTTAGCATGGAACGTGGATTGACGTACCTGTGCAGAACTGGTGGAGGCCAGCCGAGCCACCTGCCGAACCTGAACTGCAGCCTTGGAAGGCTTGGAATGGTAACGCCCTGCCTCGGCACCATCCCCCATACCCATGGCATCATGCGCTTCATCGGGCTCGGTAAACTGCTGCGCCGAGCCAGGCTGGTTCGGATAGTCTATCCGGACCAAATGCACGGAGGAAGCAGCAGCCAAGGCAACAACATCGAAGGGCCTGGTTGATTTTGTCAGTTGAGGATGGGGGAAGGAAAGAAGAGGGAGCGGCGCGGGGTGGGGGAAGGGGGGAAGATTGAGGGGGGCTGAGAGAGAATGAGGGCGAGGAAGAATGGTGGAACTATCTTCACACTCTGATGAACAGATTGGAAAGGTTCGACTTTTGAGAATTCTCAAAAGTCGCACCAACGAGGGCGAGGAGGAATGGTGAGAACTATCTTCACACTCTGATGAACAGATTGAGGGCGGCTGAGGGAGAATGAGGGCGAGGAAGAATGGTGAGAAGTATCTTCATTCTCTGAAAAACTCTGATGAGCATAATGGAAAGGTTCGACAGCAGATGAGTCAAGTTTTTGAGGCACCTACACAGAATAAGAATGGGATAGCAACTGAGCTGTGATAAAACAAGGATAGCTGAGGTTGCGGCCGTTTTCTCTCGAACAACTGAGTGTTGAGAGAAAACGGCCTCAACTGAGTGTTGAGAGAAAACGGCCTCAACTGAGTGTTGAGAGAAAACGGCCTCAACTGAGTGTTGAGAGAAAACGGCCTCAACTGAGTGTTGAGAGACAACGGCCTCAACTGAGTGTTGAGAGAAAACGGCCTCAACTGAGTGTTGAGAGAAAACGGCCTCAACTGAGTGTTGAGAGACAACGGCCTCAACTGAGTGTTGAGAGAAAACGGCCTCAACTGAGTGTTGAGAGACAACGGCCTCAACTGAGTGTTGAGAGACAACGGCCTCAACTGAGTGTTGAGAGACAACGGCCTCAACTGAGTGTTGAGAGACAACGGCCTCAACTGAGTGTTGAGAGACAACGGCCTCAACTGAGTGTTGAGAGACAACGGCCTCAACTGAGTGTTGAGAGAAAACGGCCTCAACTGAGTGTTGAGAGACAACGGCCTCAACTGAGTGTTGAGAGAAAACGGCCTCAACTGAGTGTTGAGAGAAAACGGCCTCAACTGAGTGTTGAGAGAAAACGGCCTCAACTGAGTGTTGAGAGACAACGGCCTCAACTGAGTGTTGAGAGACAACGGCCTCAACTGAGTGTTGAGAGAAAACGGCCTCAACTGAGTGTTGAGAGACAACGGCCTCAACTGAGTGTTGAGAGACAACGGCCTCAACTGAGTGTTGAGAGACAACGGCCTCAACTGAGTGTTGAGAGAAAACGGCCTCAACTGAGTGTTGAGAGACAACGGCCTCAACTGAGTGTTGAGAGAAAACGGCCTCAACTGAGTGTTGAGAGAAAACGGCCTCAACTGAGTGTTGAGAGACAACGGCCTCAACTGAGTGTTGAGAGACAACGGCCTCAACTGAGTGTTGAGAGACAACGGCCTCAACTGAGTGTTGAGAGACAACGGCCTCAACTGAGTGTTGAGAGACAACGGCCTCAACTGAGTGTTGAGAGACAACGGCCTCAACTGAGTGTTGAGAGACAACGGCCTCAACTGAGTGTTGAGAGACAACGGCCTCAACTGAGTGTTGAGAGACAACGGCCTCATTGCTGGAAAGGTGGATGGATCTGCTTTTGAGTCGACTCAAAAGCAGCTTGCGGCCATTTGCTCTCGAACAACTGAGCTTTAAGAGAAACGCCTCATTGCTGGAAAGGTGGTTGGAGGAGGGAGCACAGAAGCAACACAAGTGGCGTGTTGCGAGGCATGGGAATGTGTAGGGTGGGGTGGGAGCCGGTCCAGAACGATGGGAGGTGAAGGGAGGAAGAACGAGACTTGAGGACAGATGAGTAAGGATAGTGACGAGGAGCATGGGTGCGGGCACACTTGGGACTTCAGTGCACCAGAACACACTGTATGCGTGCATGCACCGCACTGAACCGCACTGCACTGCACTGCACTGGGGGCGAGGTTAGTCATACCTGTCTAGGGTGGGCGCCCAAGCGATGCTCGTGACAGGTGGCGGCTTCTGATTGGCTGCTGTGGTAGCGGAAGAGGCAGGGAGGAGATCTGCGATGGCATGCCAGTGCATGTAGCGATCGCTGCGCACCCACACCTGTGTGCATTATTCATTAATGGATGCATGAATGGGTGGAGTAGAGGAAGTTAGATGTAGCAGGTGAGATGAGATGAGAGAAGAGAGGAAGAGAGGAGAGTAAGAGTGGGGGTGAGAGGGAAGGGATGAGGGGAAGGGAAAATGTGAAAAGGAGAGCAAGGGAGTAAGGGAATCCAGACAGCAAAGTTACAGGAACGGGATACAAGAAAACACCTTCTGAGGCGCCTCGAAACCACCAACGTAATTCCAAGGTCAAAGGGCTTATGAGGAGCAATCACAGAAAACCCACCTTTGCAGTGTTGCTGTCACCCTTGCTGCTGCCTGCTGCTGCATGTATGAAGAAGTGTTTTGAGACGTCTCAAAACACTTCTTCATACACGACGTAGTGCCAAGGTCAAAGGGCTTATGAGGAGCAATCACAGAAAGCCCACCTTCGCCGTGTTGAACACTACAGCCAACATGCCAAAGAGCACACATCACAACATAATGAAATACTGAAGCAACATAATGATCACAGAAAGCTCACCTTTGCAGTGTTGCTGTCAGCCTTGCTGCTGCCTGCTGTTGCACATGTCGCAATAGCCACAGCGGGTGATTGGCCGAATGCACGCGTGGACGGATGGACGGCTATGATGGCACGCGACAGCAGCTCCTTGCCCATGCTGACATCAGCATACGGAAACAGTGCCACGTCAGCCTGCATAGGTTCGGATGAACACATGACCAGAATGGATATTCTCCACACGTGTTTTGATTCTCCTCAGCAGCCGGGCTTTGTTTCGATACTGAGGAAAGTAGAGAAGAGAGAAACAGAAACAGAAACTCCTTGAGAGGCATGTGAATGGAAGGTGCAAAGATTAGGCTTGGTGCAAATGCAAACTGGAGTGGAGGCCTTTTGAGAATTCTAAAAAGTGGATTCGGTGAGGAACCAGGGTTGGATGGAAGGCACGTTTTGAGGATGGAAGGCACGTTTTGAGGCGTCTCATAACTTGATGGAAGGCACGTTTTGAGGCGTCTCATAACTTGATGGAAGGCACGTTTTGAGGCGTCTCATAACTTGATGGAAGGCACGTTTTGAGGCGTCTCATAACTTGATGGAAGGCACGTTTTGAGGCGTCTCATAACTTGATGGAAGGCACGTTTTGAGGCGTCTCATAACTTGATGGAAGGCACGTTTTGAGGCGTCTCATAACTTGATGGAAGGCACGTTTTGAGGCGTCTCATAACTTGATGGAAGGCACGTTTTGAGGCGTCTCATAACTTGATGGAAGGCACGTTTTGAGGCGTCTCATAACTTGATGGAAGGCACGTTTTGAGGCGTCTCATAACTTGATGGAAGGCACGTTTTGAGGCGTCTCATAACTTGATGGAAGGCACGTTTTGAGGCGTCTCATAACTTGATGGAAGGCACGTTTTGAGGCGTCTCATAACTTGATGGAAGGCACGTTTTGAGGCGTCTCATAACTTGATGGAAGGCACGTTTTGAGGCGTCTCATAACTTGATGGAAGGCACGTTTTGAGGCGTCTCATAACTTGATGGAAGGCACGTTTTGAGGCGTCTCATAACTTGATGGAAGGCACGTTTGAGGCGTCTCATAACTTGATGGAAGGCACGTTTTGAGGCGTCTCATAACTTGATGGAAGG